ATTTTAGAAAAAAAATTCTTATTTTAAGAATTAAAATTCTTAAAACAAGAATAAAAATTTTTGAAACAAGAAATAAAATATATTTAAGAAAAAATATTCTTAAAACAAGAAAAAAAATTCTTATTTTAAGCCAAAAAATTCTTAAAACAAGAAAAAATCTTCTTTCGTGGCGGACAAGTCATTTTTTTCTTGTTTTAAGACTTTTTTTGCTTAAAACAAGAATCGTGGATTTTGCTGTGTATTAATTAAACATTGTTTAGTAAGTTTGATAACAGTATCAACAAATGTAGCAACAGTATAAGATAGTTTTAGGAGCTTTAATTGGTTAAAAGAACATTTTTGTATTAGAAATAGATAATATCGTGCCTATTTTATATAATATACAAATTTTATTGAGATATTTATTTAATTATCTCAGAGATTATTAGGTAGCTGAAAGTTTAAGAAATTGTTACTGTTTAATTTTTGCAAAGATTTTCGAAGGAAAAAATTTTATGAGCAGCATTATCCAAAGTAGCGACTTAACTTGGATGCTGCTATAAGACAAACTTGATAAGTTATAAACTATTCAAATTCTTAAAACTCTTTGAATCTAGACATTTGAATTTTGAATCGACTTTTATGAATTGTTCAAAGAAGTTCTTTACTGTATCGACCAGAGTCTAATAAAACCAGGATCATAAATTTCTTTTCTTTTCTCTCAAATGCAAGTTTGTAGTAATGTTACTTTTTTTTCAAGTACTTTTCTGTTCAAAGGCAGTTGCATTTAAAACAATATCATCGGTTTAATTTCCAATTTCTGTAAACTAATTTCTGTAAAACTAATTTTCTGTAAAACTAATTAGTCTTTTCACATATTCTTAAGATTAAAAATCATGTTACTGGAGGTAATAAGCAAAAGTTTTTTTTGTAAACATTGAGATGATTACTTGCGTTAATAGCTTAATCCAAAACACTGTTAGGGCCACAAATTTAAAAAGTGATAATTAAATTTTCTTTACTGTTATCATGTTCTCGGCTTTAAAATCTTTTTTTCCCTGCACCAATTTACTTCAAAGTTACTTTCAATGCTGAAAAATTCAGCAATTTAGAATCAAAGGTTGTTTTTCTAGATAACCACCATGTTTTACCATTATGTTTCAGGCCAAAAGCAAAACTTATCCCACTCTGACGTTAATCTTCTTATCACACTTTGACGTAAATCTTCTTTTAGCAAGCTTATACACACAAACGGCTAATAAAAACGTGTATACGATTTTTAAAGTTCTAAAAATAATTTGGCTTGCATATTAAAGTTTACTGAACTAACTATTAGAACGTTTAAACTATGAGCAATGTGTAAACAAAGCATGTCGTGCAATGTTTTTGAATTTTTTGCAACCCAGAAATTTAACCAGAACTGAATTAACTAAATATCTACCTCTATCTAGTTTTTTTTATTACTTTAGGACTATTCTGCTTTAATTCTAAAAAGCCAGTAACCATAACAAAATATAGATTGAAAATGTGGATAATAAATAAACTAATGAAGATTATGCTCCTCCCCAGAAAACATTGTTTAAGTGGATTTGCAGTATATATAGGCATTTTTTAGCGGCTTGTTAAAGTTTTGTTCATCGGTTACTTAGTGGACTATTAATGGCAACCACTATAAATGGCCAGTAAAAAACTTTCCTAAATGTTAATAGTTATTGGCTAGTCATTGGCTAGTCATTGGCTAGCCACTTTTGATGGCTAGCCAATGACTAGCCAATAACTATTAACATTTATAAAATGGTCCATAAAGTAACCGATGAGCAAAACTACAATGGATTGCTAAAAATGTCTATATTAGTCCATTTAAATTCCGCTGTAGAAAGTTTACTGGGTTTTTATTCGTACAACTTTTTTTTGTACCATGGTGGGCTAAATTTGATAATT